CCAGGCCCCCGCTGGGGACCTGCGAACCTCGCCCAGGAGCACAACGAAGCCTTCCCCTCTCTTAGTTCTCTCTCCTTGCTTTATTCTACCCACGGGAACTTACACAGGCCAAGGGGGACCCACACCCCAAATTATTAAGGAGTTGTGTGCTCTACACAGGTCCTACCATCTATGGGCACAAAGACCAAGAAAGCAGACTCCTAGTGTGAAATATTTTTAATAAATGATGTACCTAGTGAGAGAGAGAGAGAGAGAGAGAGAGAGATCCACTTCCCAATTAACTCCCCGAATTAACCATCTCCTTGCGGGCAAAGGCCCAGGCAATTGGCTTAGGCTAAAGTGGGGGCCATTGGGGCCCTGAAGCTTGCCACAAGTCTAAGGTACTTTCTGGCAACGAATCACAAGAAAGGGATTAGGTAGGTCCCAGAGAGCGGAGGCAGCATGAGAGGCTCAAAATTCAAAATATATCACAAAATCCAACATGATGTCATCACAATGGCTGCCGTGTCTCTACCCAGGACCAGGAGTAGCACCCACGTGTTTCTCACCTACGTATCTCTGCAGAGTATGTATCTGTCAGTGTCTCCACGTGTCTCCTCCAGTATGTCTCCCCTCTAGTCCCCTCCCTTTATAGCTACCTTGCTCCTTCCAGCTGCCCACACTCAGGAAGTCCTGTTCATGACAGCAGCTTGCAAACCCAAGGCGGCTGCATCTAAGGGGGAGGGGGCAGGGAAAATGATGCCCCTGCATGAAGGTATGGCTGTGACATTAATGCCATCTTGAAACTCAATGCTGTTTACAGTGCACCGATTTCATAGATTTATGTGGCTATCCAAGATATCCAAGCTTTGCTTAGCAGGCAGCTGGAGGAAGGTGGGGGAGGGGATGCCAGAGAGATCAGGAACTACCCTTGGACTTGTGACTTTCCCCCCAAGTCCTGCTAATGGTAGACAGGGCTATCCACTACCTCCTGCCCCCTCCGGAGCTGTTTCACTGCTGAGGTTGTAACCAAAGCGTTGTGAGGACCAGGCTCATCTGCATGGAGATTGCGCCGCAGAGGGAAGCCTAAAACCAAATGCAGTGTCCGGGAGAGGGACAAGACTTTGGTTATTGTCATTTTCCCCTTTTACTTAGTTGAGGCAAAATTCACGGAGCATAAACATAGCCATTTAATGAATATACAATGTTGTATAGTTATCACCTCTGCCTACTTCCAGAAGTTTCCGTCACCTCATAAGGAAACTTTGTACCCACTGAGCAGCACTTCCCAGACCTCCCTCTCCAGAACCATGGGTACCACTAATTTGAGTCTCTGAGGCTTCATCCACATTCTAGAACAGGGATGTAGCACTGTACTTTGTAGCTGAATTACTTTGTAGCTGAATTGCATTCCATTGTATGGATGGACCACTGCTTGTTTATCCACTCATCCACTGATGGATATGGGGTTTCCACCGTTTGACGAGTGTGAATAGTGCTCTACTGAAGATTCATGCACCTGTTTGTTTGAGCACCTGTTTTCAATCCTTTGGGTATATCCTAGGTAGCTGGGTCATATGGTAATTTTATGTTAAAGTTTTTCAGGAGCCACTAAACTTTTCCATAGTTGCTACACTATTTTGCAATCCCACAGCAATGGGTGAGGGTTCCAATTTCTCCATCTCTCCACCAACACTTGTGATGGTCTATTTTCGTTTGTTTGTTTTGCTGTAGCTATCCTTGTGTGTATAAGGTATAGCTCATTGTGGTTTTGACTTGCATTTCCCTAATGATTAATAATGCTGAGCATCTTTCTGTGCTGGTTGGTCATTTATAAGTCTACTCTGGAGAAATGTTTATTCAAATCCTTTGTCCATTTTTGAATTTGGTTTGGTTGACTTTTTTTGTTTGTTTGTTTTTGAGTTCTCAGTGTTCTGTATATATTATGGTTTCAGTTCCTTTATCTGATATCTAGATGGCTTGCAAATCCTTTTTACTATTATGTAGGTCATCGTTTCACTTTCCTGACAGTCCTTTGAAGCATGAAAGTTTTACATTTTTATGAAGTGCAATTTGTTTCTTTCCTTTCGCGGTTTGTACTTTAATATCATTTCTTAGAATCCATTGCCAAGCCTGAGGTCAGAAAACTTTACCCCTAAGAGTGCTATAGTTTTAGCTTCTAAATTTAGGTTTTTGAATTATCTGCGTTGATTTGGGTATATGCTGTAAAAGGGAGGTCCAACTTCATTCTGGCTTTTGGATAGCCACTTGTCCCAGCACAATTTACCAAAAATCAAAATAGCATCCCTGTCAGTAGCCATTGATGAATGGTTTATTTCTGGACTCTCCATACTATTCCATTGATCTGCGTGTCTTATCATTTCTAACTGGTACAGATAAGAAGGTGTCAGAATCGGCTGCAGCCTGCCTTGCAGAGTCCAGATAACATGTTCCTCGGTTCCAGCCAAAGGTTGATACATTGTACTTGGTAAAGCTGATAAAAGATTAGGGCTGTTAGCATTAAGGTGAAATAGGGCAAAAACATATGCTGAGACAAGCATCTGAGTACTTTCTGAAGCGCCTGAAGTGAACACCTCAACAGAGACAATGTGAGCAGACTTACTTGGTAGATCTGTTCTGGAACGGTGGTTTTTACCGTTGCAACTGAACTTGTTCTACCGATACAAGCAAATATCAAAAGGAGATGCAACCCCATGGAACACACAAACCAGGGCGTGGCGCTCTGTAAATGAAAAACAAGAAGAAATCGTTAAACATTTGCTTAAAGCTATTTTAAATCACTCCCTGTGTTCAATTTGCTAACAAAACAAATTGCTTTACTCTCTTTGGATAGAATGATTAAACTTTGTAAGGGTAAATATATTCATATATTCCAATAAATAACCTGAAATTTTATTATTTAACATTTAAATGTTAAGGTAATGAATGATGTGTTATTTTTATCATGTATATCTGTATTATTTATAAAGTCATAACATGTCTTATTTATAGATTTAGATCTATTGTTTATTATAATTATCAGCCCTGTTTAACTAATTAAATGTTTGAAAATTATTCTTTCACTCAACAGAGTATTGGGTGTTTACTTTGCGCTCCAAGCTAGAGGTGGACACTGATCATCCATTCAACAAACTCCCCGAGCCCAGGGTGGGGTGGAAGCAGGTACTGCCTTCTTGACACAGCACAGTGGTTCTATAAATGGCCAGAAGCAGACACTGCCACATGTTTCTAGGGTTCCACGAGCCTTGTCACCTTCCTCTCTGTCTGGAGTCCCAGGAATCTGAGCTTCCAGCTAATCAATCCGCAAGCCCACCTCCCCCTAGCCTATCAGCTCAGCCAAGACATAGTCATAAGATGTTTGTACTAGGAAATCCCAAGAGGATAAAAATAAAGAAGAAAACAGAGAAACAGATAAACAGGGAGGGAGGACCAGGGTACATGGACTATTTATCCCAAGAGAACATGAGCTCATCATGTCAGTCTTAACGAAATAGTTTTTCCCCAAACCCCAGTTTTTCACACACCAATCCCGAGACACCGAGTGTATGTCTTCATCTCATACCAGACCCTTAGAAGTTTCTATAAAACTTCTTGTGGGGCTTTTTTTTTTTTAAAGATTTATTTATTTTATTTATTTGTGCATACAGAACTGGGGTACAGGCCAGAGGCTCAGGGACAGCGAGAGGCTTCACCAGAGACAGAGCAGGGAACAGAACAGGCAGACTGGCGAAGTACACTGCTGAGGGGAGCAGCGGGCGGGTCAGGAGAGGTCTGCCGCGTCATGTGGTCACCTCAGGGGCAGGCGGGGATGGAACTCATGCTGAAGTGGCTTTAGCTTCTCAGTGCTGTGCTTTAACCCGCTACGCCACCAGGGAGGGCCACTTGTGGGCTTTTTCTGACATCTAATAGGCTATACTTGTTAGAGCTCAGAACAGTCAGGCTTCTAGGGGAGTCAACTTAGGAATAAAGCTCCCTCTAGCCCTGGGTCACCCCAAATCTTTGCAGGGATGTGGGTCCAAGACACGAAGGGAGGCTACACCTCTGAACATCTAGAGGTTGTCAATAAGCTAACAAGCTGCTAAATAATTTTATCTGTCCTCTTTCCTTGACAACTACCACTTTCGAACAACGGATTCCAATTTAGAATTTCCTCCCCAGGACCTATCCCGTGTCCTTCTCGTCTTGCTCCATGGAGGATCTTTCCCATAGGTGCATAGTCACCCCGGCCAGCACATCTGTGCAATTTCTTATAACTGCAGTAAAATCCACCATGAGTTCAACAAAAACTTAAATCTTTTTTGTAAAAGGGAGGGAGGGAGGACTGGAGACAGAGGCTACGTGGGCCCGTGTTTTCACACAGTATGGACCACAGATGCAAACTAGAGGCACACCTGAGCTGAGCTGTTTCTTTAGGGTGCCCCTGGCCCCCAGGACACGCAGCCCACAGCGTCAGCGGTCTTGCCTAGTGCTGGCTCCAGGTCCCCCTTCCCCTCCATGCTCTGGGCATGCAGAGGCTTGGGCTTCTCTGCTGAAATGGCCACCAGGCCACTCCCATGGCCGGCACACGCTTTTCCCTCCTGTCCGCTCCTGAGTGGATCTCCATGCACTGTGTGGGAGGCGGGAGGGGCGCTCACCTTTAGGCGCAGGTGTAGGCTAATGGCTGGATGCCTGTTTGTGAAGAGTATGGACAGCACTTATTGGAAAATGAAGGCTTAGAACATTGGCAATTCCACATGGCACAACCCTTGGGGTAGGACTCGCAGGCGCCTTATTTCTCCCCCTTTTAGTTGTAAAATTCTGGGGAGGAGAGAAAAAAGGAAATGAGAGCCAAGCCCTGCTACACAAACTGCGAGTGGAAAGCCCAGAGGCAAGAGCTAGCAGCGGCTGCAGCCCCTCCCCCGACTCTTCCCTGCGCAGTGACTGCAAGCAGAAAACCCCGCAAATGCTGGACCCGAAGCGAGAGAACAAACGCTCAGAACGGAAACAGAACTAGGTTTGCTTCAGCACTGCACTCTGCGAATCAGAGCCGCCGCACTCCTCTGGAAAGAAGGGCCGTTGACTTGGTCGCCAACAGCCTGCGGTTCGAAGTACGGTGACAGTGACGCCTCGCAGGTCCTCTGGGGGCAGCGGGATGTCCGACAGGAGCGCGGCAGTTTCCTGCGTCAGAGCCTGCTGGACACGAGGGCTTCCCCTTCTCTGCATCGAAATGCGCTTTCAATTTGGCTGCGTGGGCCAGGAAGCCATAGGACAGAGGGCCCGGCTCTCAGGGCCCCGCTGAGAAGAGATTTCTGGGTATTAAACACCAGCAAGGGTCTCCTCTGTCAGCCCCCGAGTGCTGAGAGTTTAGCGTTCGGACACATTTCCTTTCCGGTTCCAGCCTAATTTATATTTCATAGGGAAGTGTGGGAATTACCGCTCAGGGATTTATACCATGTCTGGTTCCTCTCCCCACAGGGAGGGAAGCCGCTCGTCTCCCGTAAAGGTTAATGGGTTTGGATCCTAACACGCTTCAAAATCCTTCTGGGACCCTCCCCGGTGGCGCATCGGGTCAAAGCACAGCACTATGAATCTATCGCAGCCACGAGTTCGATCCCCGGCCAGGGAGCTGACCACAGGGCACGGCAGACCTCTCCTGACCCGCCCGCTGCTCCCCTCTGCAGTGTACTTCGGCAGTCTGCCTGTTCTGCTCCCCACTGTGTTTTGGTGAATCCTCTTACCGCCCACACCTCTGACTTGTACCCCGGTTCTGTATGCATAAGGAAGTAAATCTTTTTTTAAAAATGCTTTTGGTTTTATATTAGCCAGTCATCATTTCTTTCGGTAAATTGTTAGAGAATATAAAGAACCCAGGAAGGTGAGGCACAGTTAGGTGAGAGGGCAGGTGTGGCCAGGTGTGCTGAACATTTTTCTGCTTGTAGCCTCACAGGAAGAGAGGTTTAATGCTCCACAAAAGAATTTCTAGGGGATTGTTCTTGAGAACAGGCCCTGACACATAGAAGGTGCTGGGAAATCCCTGTCGAGCAAAAGCGAGCCCTGTGGCGTCTTGGAAGTGGGTTATGGTATGGACTCCCTGCAGTCTCAAGGCCTCCCCGAAGGGGACCTGAAATGACAGATCCAGCCCCATCATGCACCTCTGCTCTGCATATCCTGTGAGCACTTCCAGGGCAGGGGAGAGAGCTCATTGTTATTTCTGTCCTAGGAACAAGGCTCCATCCCAGCAGCTGGTACGCTCTAAACAACCCTTGAGCCCAATTTGTTGGGGTCGTTTTTTATAGCTCCCTCTAAGCCATCTATTAGCATGTTGAGTCTTCAAAGACCAGGGACAGAACTCTCCAGCCTCCAGGTGCCAGGCTGACAATTTGTCAGTCCAAGAAGAGAGTCTTTGGAGACATGACATCCAAGAAGGAGACTTTGGGGGGAAAAAGAATTAATTTTGTTCAAAGACTACGAAGGTTGTTCCAGGCCAACCTAGGAACCGATGACTGAAAAATAGAAAAAAGGTGAAGTTTGCCCAAGAACAGTGTCATGGGGGCGTTCTGGGGGAAAGGGACATTTGTATTTCTGCCACAAAGGTGAATGTACATTTCTTCTTTAACACAGAATTGGATAAAATAATGAAAACTCTTGACTAAATGCAGAGTTATTGACTCAGGAATTTGTAGATTGTGGACACTGAAATTTAACCAGACTCACAAAGCTGTAAATGCAAGGATATTAGTTATAAGAGTGAAACATTTAGAACTGTTACAGGGCAGGGAGAGGGGCACCCCACAACCCCTAAACCTGCCCACTCTAAATAGGTTCTGCCATCTGCCGCATCAAGAGAAAACATATAATGGAAAGAAACTTTAATACAATGAGTGTGCAATACAGAAAAGACAAAGAGTATAGTTTCTAAACCAGACACTCAAAGTTACCCATCCCCTCGTAGGTAAAAGTCCACCCAAAAGGGATTGGCCCAGAGCAAGGCCTGAAAGCCCAAAACAAGGAGACCCATAGAAAAGGGTCAGAAATGGCCAGATAAGTCTGGGAGGGAGAGAGCAAAATCAAAGTCAAGATAAACACGGCCATAGTCACCTCCCCACGGTTTCTCACCCACATGTTTCAACCAGCCCAGGGCCAAGAAACAAGAGCCGCTTCTTCACACATCTCTGCCCCGTGTGCCTCCTCAGGTCCCCTTCTGGCTCCATCCTGCTTCCCTCCTCCTCAGTCTCCTCTCAGATTCTTCTCCTCCCTGCTCAACTCCACCCTCCTTTGGGTGGGGCAGGGAACCTGGAAGCCCCACCCCCTTTTCCTGGGGACCACCCAGTTACAGAACAACACACAGTTTTTGAAAATAAGGGCTTATGTCAATCATGATATATAGTCATTGAATGAAATATTAACGATCACTAGGATGGTGATACAGAGTAATACTTCCTATCTGGATGAGAAATGTTAATACTGTCTGGCTAAATTAAAAAAAAAAGCAGAATGCAAATGACAATATTTTAAATGAATAGAATTAGATGTGTGTGTTAGTACATCTACATCTAGAAACAGTGAAAGCAAGAAATTCTTGAAGGCCATATATAAAAATGCTCATGATGATTATCCCTCTGAGTGGCAGGAATATGGCTCATTTAGGATCTTTTCTATTATTTCTTAACTTTTTTTTTTTTTTTTTTTAGGATTTATTTATTTACACATACAAGAACTGGGGTATAGGCCAGAGATGCAGGTGGGTGACAGGATTCACCAGAGACAGAGTGGGGAGCAGAACAGGCAGATTGAATGAAATACACTGCTGAGGGGAGCAGTGGGCAGTCAGGAGAGGTCTGCCGCGCCATGTGGGTCACCTCTGGGGCGAGGATCGAACTCATGCTACAATAGCTTGGGATAGCTTCAGCATGCTGCGCTTTAACACGTTGCACCACCAGGGAGGGCTCTATTTCTAAACTTTTAACTATGGGTATGTGATACTGTAATAACAACAATAATTAAGTTAGGGCTGGTGAAACTGTTGACTCAGCCTGGTACGCAGCCCAGCTAGACGTGAATGCAGTGGCTACTTGCTCAATTTCGTGGGAGGAAAGTTGGAGTAGAAGAGGTTAAAATCACTTCCAATTGTAGAAGCTTTGATTTCATGAAGGAAGAAGGTGATCTTGGAAAACGTGCTTACGATCTTCATACAGGTCAATACGGCTTTTCAGAAATAGTACATTAAAATTCTTTGCAAGAACTAGTACAACCACTATGGAAAACTGTTTGGAGGTTCCTCAAACTGCTAAACATGGAGCTTCCCTATGACCCAGCAATCCCACTCCTAGGTTTC